AAATTCACTTATTCCTTTCATCTATTTCTTTTTTCTTTCAGAATAAAATAAATTTATATTTAAAATCCATATGATCTTACTTTGTAAATTTTATTGTGCCTAAATTTGCAAAGGTGCAGACAAAAATATCAGGCTTGACATTTAGTAAGTGCTAACAAATATTAATTCTGAATGGTAAGACTAGGGTAACTGGTGAAAGAACTATTAGTTTTATATACTTTTTTCTTTACACTCATATAATGCTCAAGTTTTAAATAGTGAGTGCAGTTTTATACATTTTACAAAAATAACAAAGTTAATTCTTTTTAATAAAAGTTATTTTAAAAACACATAAGGAAGCAGTATCAATAAAGTTTGAGGGGGAAATGTGAGAATACATGCAATAACACCCTGTATCATTCCTGGGAAAATTAAATCAACCTGTTGAGAGATGAAGCAAAATTAGAAAGTTACAAAATTAGAAATCATAACATAGAAATACTGGCAATCTTCAATAAACACAGAAACGAATACAAATCTAAAAGTTACTGTAAGTCTAGATTTTAAAAATTGAATACAAATTTTGAAACATTCTTGAAAAAAGAACCCTAAGAGTTTAATAATAATTTACAGCTAAAAACCCCACAGTACTGCAGCAAAGAAGAAGCAATGAGACTGTGGGGATGGGGGAGCAGACAGACGTGAGCAGAAGCACCTGCATGCACCCACGGCTACGTGTGGTGGGGTGGACCTAGGGAAACAGAAAAGGAGAAAATGAAAAAAGAGCATTAAACACCTTGCCTATCAAGATAAGAAAGATTAAGTTAATCTTGATTTATGGCAAAACTGAGAAGTAAACACTAACAGAGATAAAGACAAGAGCTATATAAGTATGTGTACCATCCAATATACTGGACAGTATACACACGAAGAAACCCCAACTCACAAGAAATGGAAATCAAAGGAAATAGTATAAAAAGTAGGGAGTATTATACAGATGAAAACTGACCAAATATATCAATCATAACAATTTGCAAATGGGTTCATTAAAAGACAATGTTTTTCAAAGTGTTGAAAAATCCAAACAAATTCTTTTTACAACAGACACACCCAAAATAAAGTGACAGGTTAAAAGAAAAAGCACAGACAACAACATATCAATAATCAATAACAAAGTGAACATAAAGCAAATAAAACAAAGAAGCAAACCAAAAAAAAACATCAAATCGGAACCCAAAACAGATCATTTTATATTGGCAAATTTTTAAAACTCACCAAAAAAACACAAAATTACTATCATAATTATAAGCTGAATAACACAGAACAAGAATATGTAAACAAAAAATGTTTATTCAACAAGAAATTGACAGAAAAATATAGTATTAAAAGTATAATGCTCTACTCTTGAGCTATAACAAGTAGAGGAAAATATCAATAAAAATGCAAAGGGTCTGAAAATCAGAATTTATATTTTACCCTAATTCCAGAAATATTTACGAATTTTATGTGGAATATTAAGCCACAAAGAAAATTCTTTAAAATATAGCAAGGATAAAAGTGTATATGCTCACATTCTTTTTCTATAATGCAAAAAAACAATGACAAGTTAACAGCAATAGTCAAACTAAAAAAGAAAGAAAGTCACTTTGAAATTAAAAATACTTTCCCGATAAATTTGGTATCAAAGAGATAATCTTTCCCCCTGTGAGTCTTGGTTTCATCATATTTAAAAAAAAAAGCTTTTCAAAAGATTTTAAAAGGTCTTTCTATCCACCCCTTCCCCTGATATATGCACACAAACTACCATTTATAGAGCCTATACCATATGTTCAGCTTTCCGACTGATTATTCAGTATGATATGCAAAAGTAGAAAAGGGATATATGATCTGGTTGCGGAGTCAGGAAAATCAAACAGCAGTCACCAACACAATTATAAATGTGATAGAAATTCAGAAACGTAGGAAACCACAATAGGATAGGAAGGCTTATTTATGTGACTTGGGCTAGGACATAAAGATAGAAGAAATTCTTAAAATCCAGGGAAGAAATGGGGAAAACATTTTGGTCAAGAATACTATATCAACGAAAGCTAAAGAATAACAATATTATACACCAAAGTTAAAATAAGTGACTGCTGTAGACGTAGCCTAGGAAGAAAAACACTGACGTACTAGACCAAATTGTTTATACTAAAAAACGAGCTGTAATAAGGTTTTAAAGCACTATGGCTGTGGGTTGCCAGCTAAAGTTTGGAAAAGTTCTCACCACTTTGAACTTTATTCAAATAAGACTTCCACTTTTAGGTATATTTGATATCTCTAGAGAGAATAACAACCGATAAACGATGACCTTTATTGCCATTTGGGAAACTGACTACAACAGAGGTAAAATGCTTTCAACCAGTCTTCCACAGTTACTTCAAGCAATGAGAGAAAAACGGTAATAGCTAAGAATTTAAAGAACATGCTCTTCTGATTCTGTAACCTATATACCGATTTCACATTCCCTTAGTCTAACCCACAAAAATTAAAATAATTAAATTAAAAGAACACTAATCAAGAATGAGGTTTACTCTGAAAAGGAAGAAGGAAACAGAGAATTGGTGTATTAATAAACAAGGTAGAAAGGACTAGGGCTGCCAAGTAGGTGGGAGTGAGAGGAAATAAAGTATCTTAGTTTCTGAGCAAAACGCTGTTATTAAGTATAACTGCAATAACTTGATCCAACTCCAATATTTCTTATTCACTGAAAAGAAACATTAAAATAGCAGCAATTTCCTTTATAAATAAACACATTCAGAAGGAAGGTTCTACCAAAAATGTTTAACCCTAAAGATAATAAAAAGCAGGAGGGAAATCATTCCAGTGCTTATCATTTCAAATAACTTCTAAATATAAATATTTTATAGATAAGTTAGTAATAATTGCTTTTTAAATTATATAATAAAAATTACAGTAAAATTCTTTCAAACAGCCTAATCTTATCCCTTTGTTTAGTATATTAAAAAATAAAAAATCTTCAACTGAATAAAGTAAAATTTATTGTTATATATTAATTGTGGAATAACTAATGGCAATATTGCCATTTAATTGTTTAGAATTGTGATCTTGAAAAAGTTATGAGAAATAGGAAGGTTCACTCACAAGTACCTAAAATAAGATATGACAAACCACTTTTTAACATAAGCATCATGATGCATACTATATGGAAGCTTGGTTGTTTATTCATAATAATTTGGACCCTTACCTTGTAAGTTGCATCTGGACCAGAAACTATAAATTAACAATAAATACCTGCTGAGAAGCCATATCTTTTCACTGCCCTAAGTACAGTGACTCTTAAAAGGGGTACATCCCTTGTACATATGTATGTGAAAAATAAGTATTTCAACTAAATGTTCTCAATAAGGTCTTTCTACCCTAACTCTCCCGTGCCAAAAATACACTCAAAAACCCCAATGACTTTCAAGATTTAAAGATATTGCCTCCTGGAGGGCATAGAGATTATAAGCCAAGATGGGCCGCATACCCACCAGCGTGGATCTGTCTTCTTGCACCTGAGCTGTCACTTGGGGGCCAAAGAGAACAGCTCTTAGATGGATATATGAACTGCTGCACGAATTACTCTCCCAGAAGAGAAAGACTTGACGTTGCCCTGCTGGCAAGATGTTTTTCCTATTCTAAATCCTTCTAAGTAAACCTGATGTAAAATGTCTGGTACGTCTGAGTGTTTGGTTGACTTAAAAAGACCATCTGGTGGACACTGCAAAAGCCAATCTCAAATTTAAATTATTCTTCAGATACAAAGTAACTGTAATTTCTGTTAAGTGCATAGCAATTACAATTATATGATGGTCTTTTCTCATAAAACAAAAGAAGTAATTTCTTTTAAAAATATTCAATGTTTTCAAAACTCTGCTTTTGTTTTTTCAGTATTCAGGCTTTAGATAAACCATTAATGCAAATATGAATGCCCCTCATTGAGCTTCAACAATAATATATACAAACTCAGTATAAACCTGAACGTGTAATGGAAATTTTAACTTTCAAAGTTTCAATAGAAGTTTGATATAAAGCACACATTTGGTTTTGTCAGTCATTTACTTTGTACAATAAGACTTGTAGAATTGGCCTCCAGCATACATTAATGCTTTCCATAATGTAGCTGTTCAAGATGCTACCAAGAGAACCAAAGGACTCTTTAATAAGCAGAATAGTAATATCTAATAGAGTGACTTATCTGGGCGGACTCATCCTGATGAGATACTATAGGTGTCATTGAATAATTATATATATGGTTTTTAAATGTGCAATAAAATATTCTAAATAAGCATAACTGAATAGATCTGAGAATCTATGTATCTTTATAGAAAGTTGTGTTTCTACACATTTGCTGAAATTTTCAATTCCTAAACATGATCTGAGATGCTGAAGAGTTTGTCACGGTCTTGCCTTTTACACTGATGACTAGAAAAATTTTTCACTTAGATGTCTCGTTTCTTTCATTTTTGAGAAATTTTGTAAATTTAATGATAAGGTATGAAGTTTATTTTTTATTTTAAATGCAAAGTAGCCTTATTTAAAGTCTAAACTACTTAAAGACACAATCATTAGCAATTCTGAATCACCTGATATAATAAGGTCTGAACTTTACGAACAAGTGAAACAGTCTCACGGTCTATCAATAAATGATCTCTAAAGAGGACCCATCAAGTGCTAGAATAAATCCCTTTCTATTTTAAAGAGAAGAATCTATCAGGTAAACCATTTTCATGATATCTTCAACAGCTTTCAAAGGATATCTCAGTAGAAATACTAAATAAAAATGATTGATGGTGCTATTTAGGCTTTTTATACCCTTCCTTTCCAATAAAAGTTATATTTTAAATTTCTTTTAATATTAACATTCACACTACAATTTCTCTTGTCATTTTTTACTAAAATCACTTGCAATTGTTTTGTAAAACTTCTAAAGAATTCCCTACTATTCTAATAAAACTGTGTTAAATTTAATGACTTACTGCAAACAGCCCACTTTCACTGCTACAGGAAGGTGGGGAAGTTGAGTGGCCCACTTCAATGTCACATCCTGATAGATATGCAACATGTTATTATGGTTTCCAATCAAAGTATTTGTTGTTCCTTCAGAAACTGTAGGTTGAAGATACAAAAAAAGAGAATTATAAGAAAACAGTCATTTGCAAAAGTATATCATATCTCTTTTAGGGGATTTATGACACAAACTAATTCTAATATCTTGATTTTAATGCACAAAGATTTTAAGTAATAAAACATTATTTTTCAACTGTAAGATACCAAGATCAAAAAGAAACAACTCATTTTACAGACTTGGAAACTATAACTAGATAATGGCCAGCATTTTTGCATTTCATCTAGAAAGCATGAATTTCATTAACATATAACACATTTAAGCTAATGTTTTACTGGGCATTCACTACAGATAAGTCACTCTATTAGACATCACTACTCTGCTTATAAAAGACTCTGATGTTCTCTTGGAAGCATCTTGAACGGCTACATTATGGAAAGCATTAATGTATGCTGGAGGCCAATTCTACAAGCCATATTGTACAAAGTAAATGACTGACAAAACCAAATGTGTGCTTTATATCAAAATTCTATTCAAACTTTGAAAGTTAAAATTTCCATTACATGTCCAGGATTAAACTATTTTCCTATATGTTTAAAAGATGTGTATGAGTATGGCTTTTTCTGATGTATATAACATAGCCTTGACATATGGAACAGATAAAAGAAAATCTTTCTACTCACCTGAGCAATATGGGAGAAAACAACTTGGGCTACAATCAAGCTTCTTCATGAATCGCATTTGCCCATTATCCTTAAGGCAAAAAAAGTTTCTCTCACCAAGAACAAAAACAGATGCTGCTGACTGATTGAAAGAGACAATACATACATCCACGGCTTGCTCTCCAATATTTAGAGTCCAATCCGCCTGCAAAGCAAAACCCAAGATCAATTTAGTTGCTAAAAACAGAGTATTTCAGTCATTTTCACACCAATACAAATTTTTTAATTGCTGTACAACAAAGCAAAAATATAAAGATTGGCTAATCTTCTTCATTTACTTTTGGTTTTTTTTCCTGTGAGTGTAATCAGGATATTCTATAGACTCTAGCAAGTGTTACTCCATTTCTTACTGGTTCAAAAATACACACACAAAAAAGGTATCTGCTTCCTTGAAAAACTCCCATAAGAAAGCTTTTATGTTTACTTTGCACATCAAATTTAATAATCAGTAATCCTCTACACATAATAATGCAGAATAATATATAATAATACAGAACCCTCTACACATAAGAGCTATTCCAGGGCATCTTCACACCTCTGGAACATGGTCATTATTCAATGCTTCTTAAAATAATGAATGAATGAATGAATGAATGATGTAATACGGGCATGTAAAAGAAGAGCTTTGCAGAATTCATATTACATGCAATTAATATTTCTAAATCAATAAAATGCAAAATAAAAGATAACATTGGTTGGCAGACACATATTGCATATGACAATAACAGTGAGATGGCTTTATCAAAAAAAAGTCTGGACAGAGAGAAAATAAGACTGCCATCAAAGTTAGGTTATAATCAACAAATAAGGGTTGAATTAGAGATATGAAAAGCTGCATTAAAGATACAGATGGATTTCTGGTCACCAAGACATAATTTTAGGTACTACTTTAGGTATTAAAATATCTGAAGAAGTTATGAAATCCAAATGGGGCTCATCAGAAAGGCAAATACTGCCAGTGTGTCCATATAAGAACAATCTCTAGGAGGGAGACAGTACAGTGAACACACATCAGACTATCTTATGTTGAACCAGAATTCAACACTAAGAATTCGTTCGACTGCCATTTGGTTCAAGTACGGCTTACCTACATAAAAAGATTCCCCTGGACACAAGACATGAATGTCGGCCCACGGCAGTTATATTTCCCATTACATTGGAATAGGCTAGCATTCTAATATTACATATCAGTGTCTGTAGCTCAGGCTGATGTGTGCCTGACCCTGAGAGATGATTAATTCTGAGTAAACAGACAAATCAAGTTTCAGATGCCACAGTCGGAGATCCAGCCACGAAATATTTTCAATTCACCAGGTACTAAGTGCCACTCTCTGTGACCTCCCTTTAGGGAAACACACCACATTCTGAATTAATGAGTTTCATAAAACGTACAAGTTTAGGGCTGGCCCGGTGGCGCACAGGAGAGTGCGCCGCTTGGGAGCGCGGTGGCACTCCCGCCGAGGGTTCAGATCCCATGTGGAGACCGGTTCCCGCTCACTGGCTGAGCGTGGTGCGGATGCAACACCAAGAGTTGCGATCCCGTTGCCAGGCCCCGGTACAGGCGCGACACCGAGGGTTGCGATCCCATTACAGGTCAGTAAAAAAGACAAAAAGGAAAAAAAAAAAAACGTACAAGTTTATAAGAATGATAGTAAAAAAATTCTTTCACTTCCAACCAAGATGGAGTAATAGGGAAAGGACTTACCATTCCACCTGAAACAAGCACAAAATGGACAAAATACATGAAATGACAGTTTGCAAGACACTGGACATCAGACAACAAAGGACAGTGACCCTTTAAGGACAGAAAACAAATGAGGTAAGTGGTATAATTGCTCCAGCCTTGAGAGTTTTCAGGCCACGGCACAGGGAAGGAAAACCTAAGCAGAGTACAGCAGACTCCCTGAATCCTGGAGATGGACACTCAGAGTCCGGAGAAACCAAGGCAGTTAGACTTCACAGGACAGCATTCCAAAGCTACAGAAAAAAAGAACTCTGGAGAGCTGGAGAGAGTTCTCCTTGACTATTCAGCTGAGGACTTAGCACATTCACATTTAGGAAACTACCCAAGGCCAGGGAAAGAACTACCCAAAAGGATTAGAGGTAACAGTGCCCAGCGTTCACACACGGCGTGAAACACTACCTATGCTAACCATTCGGACTGAAACCCTCATTATTCTGAGGGATCTTGCCTCAGGAGTAGGAAATAAGCAGCCCTACAATGAGCTCTACTCTGGTCCCATCTAACAAGTCTTAAAAATAAGACCCAAAAAGATCAAACTGTTTCCAAGAAACTTAACTATGTCCCAAGGCTAAGCTCAAGAATAGTTATAGGAATACAAAAAATATCTAACACCCAACAAAGTAAAACTGACTATATCTGGCATCTAATAAAAAAATCTTTAAATTAACAAGCATGCAAAGAAACAGGAAAATGTGATCCACAATGAAGAGATAAATAAATCAAAGGAAACTGACCCAAAACTGATACAGACGTTAGAATTAGAAAAGAAAGACATTAAAACAAGCATTATAACTATATTCTATATCAAAAAGTTAAGTAGATACCCAGAAGATATAAAAACCACTCAAACTGAATTTGCAGAGATGAAAACTATATTGAATGGGAATTAATACCAGATTAGACATACAAAAAAAGATTAGTGATCTTAAAAACACAGCAATAGAAGTTATCCCAAATGAAATAGCAAGAAAAAACAATACTTAAAAAATGAAAAGAAAACCTGTGAGCTGTAGGACAACGTCAAGTGGCCTAAATGTACGTATAATTGGAGTCCCCAAAGGAAAGGAGAAAAAGAGAAGGCAAAAAAGAATATTTAAAAAATTAATGGCTAAAAATTTCCCAAATTTTATAAAAAATATAAATTCTCAGTAGCAAGCAGCTCAACAAAACCTAAGCATAAAAAAAGAAAGAAAAGTACATATCATAATCTAATTGCTCAAAATAAATAAGAAAAATATCTAAAAAGAGGGGAAAAAACCTCATGAACAAAGATAAGGCACTATGAACAAAGAGGAACAGACATAAGGATGAAAGCAGATTTCTCATCAGAAACAACGCAAACAGGGCGAGTGGAGCTTGAACCACTGGGGGAGGAAGTCTGCAACCTAAAATTCTACACCCAACGAAAAGATTGTTAAACACAGAGATAAAAATATCACCAGCAGAACCACACTCACGGAAACGTGAAAGGAAGTTCTGCAGGAGGACGGAAAATGGCATCAGATGGAAATATGGGCTATATAATTTAAGGAAGAGCACCAGAAATGGTAATTACACGGGTAAACATACATTATTTTTCTTCTAATTTAAATCTCATTAAAAGATAATTGGGTATTTTAACAAAAATAATTACAGTGTAATATGGGTTCACGGCATATATAAAAATAAACTATATGACACTAGCATAAAGGCTGGAATGTGAGAAATAGAAGCATTGTTCTTATGTATGTGAAATAGTATAATATCACCTGAAAGTAGAGTGTATATGCTAAAGATACATACTGTAAACCCTACAGTAACCACAAAAATAACAAAACAAAGAGTTAATAGCTAATAAGCCAACAAGGTAAAATAGAATCATAAAAGCTATTGACTAAATCCAAAAGAAAGTGGAAAAAGAGGGAAAAGTTAACAAAGAACAGAGGACAAACAGAAATCAAATGATCAGAAGACAGACTTAAAGCTAACTTTATCAATAATCACATGAAATGTAAAAAAATTAATTAAAAGGCAGAGTATAACATACTGGATAAAAAAGCAAGACCCAGGGCCGGCCCGGTGGCGCACTGGAGAGTGTGCCGCTTGGGAGCACGGTGGCGCTCCCGCCGAGGGTTCGGATCCCATGTGGAGACCGGTTCTCGCTCACTGGCTGAGCGTGGTGCGGGCGCAACACCGAGGGTTGCGATCCCGTTACCGGTCAGTAAAAAAGACAAAAAGGAAAAAAAAAAAAAAGCAAGACTCAAATATATGCTGCTTACAAAACATACACTTTAAGTATAAAGACACAACCAGGTGAAAAGTAAAAAGATAGAAAAAAGTGCCAGAATAACACTAATCAAAAGAAAACTCAGTGGCTATATTACCAACAGATTAAGGAGGTTTCAGAGCAAAGAATATTATCAGACAGAAGGATAAAGAAGGTCATTTCATAATGAAGAGGAGGTGAGCTCATCAGGAGACATAACAATCTTAAATGTTTATGCAGCTAATAACAGAATTTCAAAATACCTGAAGCAAAAACCTGACAAAATTCTAAGCAGAAACAGATAAATCTACAATTTCCTTCAGAGATTTCAATGCCCCACTCTCAATGACTGATAGGAACTAGTCAAAAACTGATAAGGAGACAGACGTGTAGCGCACTCCACCCAGCCACAGCAAAGGTGCGCACGGAACATTCACTGATAGACCGTACTCTAGGCCATGAGACAACTCTCAAGAGATCTACAGGAATTCAAGCCACACAAAGTGATTTTCTGACCACAAAGGACTTAATTAGAAATCACCAAATAGTGAAAAGGTAGTGCTGAGTCACACAGAAAGCTGTTAACTATCTTCTCACAACTGCCTTATTAAAAGCATTCCAGTGGGGAAGTTCTGTTCCTTCGGCTCCGCGATGGATTTAATAATGTTCTGTGGTATCACAGTCCTGTCAACTGACTGCCACGTAATAAAAGGAAGTTTTCTACTATTTCTTACCCTATTCATTAACTAAAAAAGAATGGGAAACCACTCGACTGTAATGCAGCCTTTAGAACACAACCTCAATACAGTGTGGAGTAGTATCAATAAATAACTGCACGTGGACGAGGAAAGGACGTCCCAGCAAGAAGAAAAGCCACACACGGATGCCCAGAACCAAGAAGAGCCACGGGAGACTTGGAGCAATGAGGAGCCTCCTGCGGCCGGAGTACGGACTACAGGGGACAAATGGAGGCAATCAAAGGACAGTGTGATCAACATGATCACTGTCACCTGCATCATCCAGGCATACTGCTAAGTACTTTATATGTATTTATCTAATGACAACATTATAAAATAGATATTATCGCCTGTTTGCAAACAAGGAAAGTGAGATTGAGTAAAGTTAACAAACTTGCTCAAACTTGCTCAAAAAAAAGAAATCCGTATAGCTCTCAAGTTCTGATTCCAAAGCCTATGCTTTAACTATTATTACCATGGTGCTTCCAAATTCTTTGCAAAACAATGTCATACTTGGGGGCCGGCCCGGTGGCGCACTGGATAGTGCGCCGCTTGGGAAGCGCGGCGGCGCTCCCGCCCGAGGGTTCGGATCCCACATACAGACCGGTTCCCGCTCACTGGCTGAGCGAGG